CACCCCAAAGAGCTCCCACCATGTCCCTCCCTGCATCCCAACGAGCTCCCACCATGTCTCTCACACCCCAATGAGCTCCCACCATGTCCCTCCTCACACCCCAAAGAGCTCTTCCCCCACAACCCAAGGAACACGCATGTGAGTCTGAGAAGGCATACCGGCTCTGGCATTTGGGGCCCGTTGCATGAGCTGAAGACATATTAACTCCTTAAGGGAAATTCTGGGAGTCTGTGCCTAAAATCCACCCTAGTTGAAAAGGGCTCCTGAATAAGCTAACGGGTGCGTTTGTGGAATCTAAAGACGTGCTGCTAGAAGTCTCGCACGAGGACCTGTGAACATAAACCAGCGCTCCTCGACGGGACCGCAGCGGACCTGGCCGCTGCTGGCCGCGGTTACCCCACACCTGCCCGTCAACGGGGAGTGGGGACTCGCGGTTCTCGCTCCCCCAACAGCACAGACGAGGGAGACGGACCAAGCAATGCGCAAATGTGGCTGTCCACTTCCAGGCAGAGTTTTAGGGACAGAAGCAGATGAGAGGTGGGGGAGGGAGTTTAAGCAGATTTTCACTGGAAATGCTTGCAAAATCTCCTGTCCACAGGCCCCATGTCTACCAAACAGAAAGAACAAATCCAAAGTGAAGTCTGACACATCTTTACGTACGGTCAACAATATAGATCCACGTATTTTCCATAGATCCCTGCAGCAAATCCCCTAAAAAACGTGAATAAAAAGTACCTCTCTGCACAAAGGGCCTCGTCCTTCCCTAAAAGCGTTAACCTCCCGAGAGCCTATTCTTAGCCAGGCTCCCGGGAAGGACGGGGCGCTCTGGGACCAGGCGACAGCCCTTCCCATCTCCCCAGAGGACCAGGGTGACTTGAAGGTCATCTGCTGCCCAGGACCGGGGAGAGATTAGGTGGCTTCTTCCCAAGACGTGGTCTTCCGTGTCCGGCTGCTGCTGGAGTGTCCTCCCCGCTTCCTGGCAGAGGCCCAGAGCGAGGCAGGAGAGGCGCCTACCACAGCGCGGGGATGTACAGAACTCTGGGTATTGTGATAAAGCACACGTGGTGAGCAACGTGCCCCCGTGAAGCCAACGTATCAAATTCACCCGCGGGAAAACGATCTCACATTCCAGAATCCACAGGCAAGCCTTTTATTTGAAGGGAGGTAATCGCTTAGCACCAATCGCGCTCTCTGGTAGCTCTCCCTCCTCCGGGGAGCCCTGGCCGCGGCCCACGCAGAGCCCAGCGCGCAGTGCCCACGTCCAACAACACAGCGGGCCGCACGGCCTACCACACGCCACGGAACAGAAGTGCTCTCACACCACGTGGCGGGGCCGCCCCGCTCAGGGAGCACGAGCCGCCCCACAGTCTCCCCCCGGGCTGGCCCTGGCCATCCAGCCCCACGGGCTTCATTCAAAGCGACGCAGGTGGTTGTACAGGGACTGGACGTAGGTGAAGACGCACATGGGGTCCGGCTTGGGGCCCATCGCCATCATGTCCTCCACCTCGATGAGGCGCTCGCAGTTGGCCAGATTCCTGAAACACAGAAGCCCCATCAGGACAAGGGCCCCGGTCACCAGCCAGCCCCACGGCCCCGCGGCCGGAACTGCGGCGCCCCCCACCCCAGGGCCTTCCGATGACCCCGGGAGACCCCGGGGAGACCCCTGCATCCAGGGACCACCAAGTCAACTCACTTCACAGACTTCCTGGCTGCAAGTTTCTGTGAAATTAAAGTTCACTTTCACTAAATTCACTTGTAAGTATTAGAATTCTGTTAGTGAAATTTTACTTTAATTTAAAAATGAAGTTTCCACTAAAAAATTCGACGTATTGCGACAGGATGTGGAGATTCAGCACAAACTATAAAACGTAAAACAAAGAAAGTAATAAATTTACCCAGGCGGCTCCTAAACGGTCTTTTTTTTTTTTTTTTAGAGAGCGAGCGAGCGAGAAACAGCATGGGAGGGGAGAGGGTCAGAGGGAGAAGGGCTCCCCGCCGAGCCGGGAGCCCGACGTGGGACTCGATCCCAGGACCCTGGGATCATGACCCGAGCCGAAGGCAGACGCTCAACCATCTGAGCCACCCAGGCGCCCCTAAACGGTCTCTTAAAACGTTTACGAGACCCATGCTTGGAGACACGGCACGCGAACGTGCCCAGGGCTGCACAGAGGTGCTTTCTGCCCCCGAGATTTCCCCACAGTGCTTGTTTCTCCCCCCACCCACACCCCCACTTAAGGTGGGCGGGAACCGCTCACCCGATTTCACGACCTGCTGGCTGACGGGTCCCAAGGGCAAGGTCAGGACGTTGCCTACACCCCCCTCGGCCCCCCGGCCCCCCTTGCCGCACACTCTGGGAAACGCTGGTCTAGCCTTGGGCCCTGGTGTAGACGGGAAGCTGGGCGTTCCCTGGGCTGGAAAGCGGGTTCCCCGGCATCCCCAGCTCCCGTGGCAGCACCCCAGTGATGGGTCAGCGCCGCGTCCTAAGAGCGGGTGTCCTTCCAAACGCTACCCCGTGACTCCCGGGGCGCCAGAATCGCAGGCCTGGTGGGGTCAGGCGGCACCGACTGGGCTCAAATGCCCACACCCAGTGCTGTCAGTGTTCGTCCCTCCGCGGCTGAGCGCGCTTCACGGTCCCAGCCTCCCCCGTGAACAAGCAGGTGGCTGTCGGGGTTCACGACCCAGCCCCGTCCTCCCTGACTTGGGGTAAGAAAGACACATCACTTCTCCCAGCCTCCGACTGCCCCGGCTGGTGTAACCGCCCCGCGAGCTGGGCGGTAAACGTCGGCGGTGCTGGTCGTCTCTGTCATCGTGCTCGATGTAAGGAGCAAGCGCGTGGACGGGAAAGGTCGGCATTTGGAATCGGAGCAGCTGGGTGCAGAGGCTAGCTCTGCTCCTCACACCCCCGGCCTGGACTTGCACCCCGGGGCCCGCGGGCCGGTCCTGGGGGCCCCGCACACGGGACTGGACCACGAGCTCGGGGCCCCGCCCTGCGTGCTGGCCGGACGCCAGGCCTCCTCTCAGACCCCGAATGTCAGTGAAACACGGACATCTGTCCCGGATGGGCCCACTGCCAACTCCCCCTTGGTCTGGAGCGGGTCCCTGTGAGGGAACCCAGTGGCTTCGTGAGGTGATGGGGGGCTTGGCCCCAGGCAGGGCACCCTGGCATCCCCGACGGGCCAGGGCGGGGCTCCGCGTCGGGGAAGCGTGCGCTCTGACAAAGGACAGGCCTATATGGGTGCTTTGTTGGTGTGGCGGGGCTGCAAATCCAAGGCCTTCTGACCTGAGTGCACCTTCCCAAGCGATCAGTCAGCACCTGCCCACCCACCCGCCCACCCAGGGCTGCCTCCCAGGATCCCAGGTGAGCCGACCCCGCACGTACACCGGGCCATCCCCCCGACGCTGGGCTCCGCGGTCCCCGGGTTCAACGAGAGCCATATTAAAACCCCGACCCTCAGCCCGGAAAGAGAACTGAGTGCTGGCCTCCGAGCACCGGGGAGGAGGGAGGTGCTCTCTCCTCGGTGGCCCCGCTCGGCTGGCTGTCCTCCAGGCCCAGGCCAGGGGCCCTCTTCCCCCAAGGCCAGGAAAGTTGCCCTCACATTTCTCATGCTAGTTTGCCTCCGGGTCCTTCCTACCTATTGGCCCCACAAGTCCATCCTCAGCCTGATTTTTTCCCACATCTCACGCTGGAAGAGAATCTTCCGAAAAATCTCCCTATCGCGTCTTTCCCCGAAAATAAATAGCTCAAAGGACACCAGGGACTCTCTCCTCTGTGCTGGTTCTAGCTTCTTTCCCCCCTTATTACCGGAGGGTGCCCTTACCGGACTTCCGCGATCAGGGTGGTGGTGGGGACGGGCACGAAGGCCTCACCACGGCCTCCGCCCCCATGACCCAGACGGGAAGCTGTGGGCAAGGTCCCAGCTTCCCAGCAAACAACCAGGGCCCTGGTCTCCACCCTGCCAGCCACACGGTCACGTCAAGACTCCTAGAAGCTGCACACACAGGCTGAATGAGATTTCAGAATCAGGATATGAGAAGAGGAAGATGATGATCGGGACGGACTTTTATAAAAATACGTAAGTCTCAAAATATCAGAGGCCCCAATCGCCCTAAAAAGTTGATGCATAACTGACAGAACGTTGCATGAAGGGCACACCCAGTTGCCTTTTAAATCAACAAGCTGCTTTTGTGAACGCCACACCAGCTTGTTGAAAGAACTCAGACGCCACGGAACAGTCCAAAGGAAAAAGGACCACCACCTTTGGATGAGTTCACGCGGCCGCACCTTGCTTGGGGTTAAGAAGGGTTCAGAGGATTCTCCTACTCCAGCTCTATCCTATCTTCCGTCCACACGGGGTTGGCCTGTGAGGGACGTGGAGGAGGGACCGGAGGGGTTATTTTTATTTAAGCCTCCTCTAAATGCAGACGCCAGGCTCGGACTACAGCCTCCTGTCTGGTTTCAGACAGACACACGTGGGTACTACAAATAGCCTGAAGCCCCTTCGGCTTGGGCGTAACCGGAGAGCAGGACACACTCCCGCAGGGCAAGCGGGAGCCTCGGGCCACACATCCGGCTCTGGGCCTGCCCTCGGCCTGGGGCTGCGGGGGGCAGGGTGCAGAGGGCAGGCCGCCACACACCCACCGCAGCCCCTTCCATAAAAGGGCTGGTCCTCCCGCTTTACAAGCCCGGGACACCTGTCCAACAAGGGAGCTCACTCCGCTGTCAACACGGCATTGCTCGCACAGATTAGGCCGCGGGGAATCTCTGGGACGGTCCGTGACTGGGAGGAGGGGCAGCCCCAACCCCTTACACGGCAAAGGCTCCCCAGGCATCTTTGTGTCTCTACGGCCCTTGCTCGCAGAAGGGTCTGGAAGCACTTCCTTCCTGATGGGAGGTGAACCCCGTGTCTGAGGGGCCTGTCCGTCCTCCATCCCGCACCGTCTGCTCCTGACCAGCCTGCTGTCCAGGGAACCAGGTGACCCAGGCTGCCCCTGTGAGGTCATCTCCCGCAGGACTCCCAGGGGAGGGCCCTTTCCAGACCCCGAACAAGCTTCCCACACAGGCCTGCCCGGGGCACACCCCCGGCCCTCCTCAAGGCGGCAGAAAAGCCGGAACTCATCTCAGGAGCAGGCAGACCATCCTCCCCTCCCCAGACACGAGCAGGCCACAGGGAGGCAGGGCCAGGCTGCTGACCCCGTTTGCTCTGGGGGAGAGAAAGCAAAGCTCGGAGCGGCCTGCACCATCGCCTCCCAGGCTGGGAATAGAAAAAATGTGCGTTCCGAGTCTGGAGGTTCCATGAGCCCAACCCTCGTGCTGGGAGAGCGTAGCCGCAGACGGCTCTGGCTCTGGCCGCCGGGTTTGGGGCGGGGGCTGTGTTCCCCGCGATCTGCAATGCAGGGATGCAGGGCCTCCACTCTCCCTGCTCGGCCCAGCCTGCTCTAGGGCACGGCCCCCTGGTCCTGACGGAAGAGAGCTCCAGGGGCCACATGCGGCCTCGCCGGCTGGGGTGGGCCTCCACGTGCCCACGTCAGGGCCCCAGCCCCACACACACGGTCCGCGGTTTGACCGCCACCCTGCCTGGGCTCCCAGCAGCTGGGCCTCCCCCTGCGAGGCGCCCCTCCCCAACACCGTGCCGTCCCCCTTGGCTCTGCTTCACCACTGTCTGGGTCCAGTTGCATAACACGCTCCATCCAAAGCTGTTTCTGTGATTAGGATGACAGCTAATCCCAAGCAGCCAAGAAAGAGAAGGCTTTTAAAGGATACAAGGAGTTCTTGGGACCCCAAGGGGGCCCAGAGTCCAAGCGTGTCGCCCGAGACCACACCACAGGGGCAATACCAACATTCCTACGGCTCAGCCAAGGAGCTCGGAGCCAGGGTCTCCATCCCGTCCCCAGAGCGGGAGCTGTGGCTCGGGAGAGGGGCGGTGCCCTCAGCTTCCCTGGCCAGGCCCGGGGTCCGGGCTTGGAGCGCGGCCTCCCCCTGCTCAGGGCACTGGGTGGGCATGCGCAGATGCTCAGGGGACTGATGTCACCAGGCAGAGAGGCTGTGGGAGGAGAGATAAGCGTTCCCTCCAGGAAACTCGGCTTTCGGGGGACCTTCCTTCCCTCTGACCTTCTTCCCCTTGATTCCTGGAAACTGAGCACCAGGCGGCCCTAAACATCCTCCTCTGTGCCCCGTCTCCAGGCTCCCCGGCCCTCTGCGTCCTGACAGTGTTCAGCCAACAGGAGGCCCTGGCGTGAGGACAGAGCACTTCCTCCCAGCCCCCTGCCCGCAGGCCACTGGGAGCTGGCCCATCCACGGCCCTCTCCCCGCAACTGCTCTCTGCCACCCCCAGAACGCCAGGCAGACCAGCCCCGGGGGACTGCCTGCGCCCCCACCAGAACCCTGGTGCACCGCGGGCTGCCCCGAGCCGACCACCAGATCCCAGCCTGGGGATCCCAGAACCTCCCCCCACCCAATCTCCCTCTCGTGAGGGAGTCTGAAGAAGGAGGCGATTGTGTAGCAGATGCATTTAGAGAAGCAAAATCGACTTATTGCAGACGTTTTCAAAATGTCTCCCAAGCAGATGTTATTCGATTTCCTGCTCACCCAAAAGCAACGGTATCTCCCCACCAGCCCTGAGAGGACAGGCGGGGTGCCCCGGGAGACCCCACCGCACGGCCCCCCGTGCCCTGTCGGTCGGTGGCTGGTCTCCCAGACCGCACGCACACCAGGGACCAAGGCACCTGGCAGGAAGGGCAGGTGTGGCGAGCCCTCCTCGGCGAGTCTGGGCGACTGCTCCCCCCAGCTGCCCGGCAGGCGGGCGGAGTGGAGGGCCTCCTGTCCTGCCTGCCCCGTGCTCCCCCACCCCCGGGGCAGACGCCGGCTCAGGACCCGCCACACTCACTCAGCCATGGAGAAGGCCAGCTCGAAGTTCCTCTGCGGCTGCGCAGGGCTCAGGGCGCTGTAGTCGAAGGCGTCGGGGAAGAAGGAGTGCACCAGGGCGCAGAAGGCCATTCCGTCACTCCAGCTGGAGGAGAAGTTCTGCAGGTCCACGTGCTTCCGGCCGGCCGGGGGTCAATGCAGGGAGGTGAGCAGGTCCGCCCCAGCAGCCCCTCCCGGTGCCCACCCGGTCCACAGGAGGCCCCAGGGATCTGGGCATGGGCTGCAGGCAGGCGGCGCCGGGCTGGGGGGCCCCGGGCTCACCTGGTAGCCGAGAGTCTTCTTGCGACACCATTGCAGCAGGAGCTGCTTGATGCTGCCGGCGCCGACCCCGAAGCTCTGGGACCGCTTCAGCTCGGCCCGCACCTCTCCCTTGCCCCTGTGCCAAGAGCCAGCCTGCGGCAGGGCGCTCCTCCTCCCCCCGGGGCCGGCCGGGGTCCCCAGCGCGGCCAGGCCCCCGGGAGAATGCCCCACCAGCTCTGCGCCCCCGGGAGCCCCCTGACAACATCGGGCAGGCCCGCCCTCCCTCCAGCCCCCAAGCCCCGTCTCTCCCACACTGGGAAGCAGGGGTCCCGAGCCCGCGTGGCCCCCCTTCCCTTCACCCAGCTGCCCCAAGGCCACCCTCACTGACAGGGTTCCTTCCTGGCCAGAGAGGGGGTCCTCCTCCAGGGCCGTCGGGCTCAGTCTCCCTCCCTGCTGGGAGGGCGCCAGGATGGGTGTGTCCCCCCCAGGCCTGGGTCCCGCCCCGCACACGCAGGTGTCATGCCGAGAGCTGGATCCCTATGCAAAGACCAGCCCTGTCTCTCCGAGGGCCAGGGTGTCGCCCCACAGGTCCCCTGGGAGCCCCTGTCACGCCCAGGAACCAAGGGAAGGCGGTGGAGGGCGGCCTGGGGCACCCCTGGGGCGGGGCAGGAGAGGGGCTCTCGTCAAGGGGGACAGGCAGGGCCAGCTCCGCTGAGCTGCGCCCGCCGGGCCCCCATCTGGGGCTGGGCCCCCACGCTGGGCGTGAGCATCCGTACTTGCCCGCGGTATCCTGCTCCCACTTCTCAAACAAGGCCTTCCGGGCCTGCGCTCCCGACGTGCGGGGCAGCGTCTGAGACCTCACCAGCTCCCGGCGCCGGGCCTGGGCGGTGGCTGGCGGCGGGGGGGACGGGGGCGACCGGGGCGGCGTCGCCAGGGGTGGGCTGAGGAGAGAACCAGCGTGTCGGGAACAGCCAGGCCCCCGGGGCCCGGGGTCCCCCCGCCCCACAGAGTGACCGAGGCAGAAGAAGGGGCAGGAACAGAGGAGGGACCAGCCCGCCAAGCAGTGTGGGGATCCACTCTGCCCGAGCTCCTGCTGGGCATAATCACCCAGCCCTCAGCAGGTGCCAGTTCCTGTGGTGGGCAGGGCAGCGTACCCCACACCCCCGACCCCCACTAGATAAGACCCCCTTTGTTTCAAGTCACAAATTTCCCTTATGATTGCAAGAAAAGCCAAGCCCGCCCCCCACCGCCCTCCCAGCTCCAGTCGCAGTCCGGCTGGCCTGGGGGGAGCCCCCACACACCTGCCCCAGCCCCGGGGCCTCTCCAGGTGCCTCCTCCGTCCTGTCTGTCCCGTCCGGGCAGGAAGCACCCGGTGGAGGGAGCCCCGCCAGCCAGGGCGAAGACAGCCTCCCACCTCCTCAATCCTGGCCCAGACCTGATCTGAGGAGTCCACACAGACACAGCTGCAGCCGTATCCAAACAAGACTGTCCAGGGGGAGGCCTGCCTTGCCTCCCCTGCACAACCCCCTCCCCCACTGCCCTGCTGCCCTCCCTCCGCTGGTGGCCGGGGAGCCTGAGGCCATCCTGACCCACCTGTCGCTGCTCCTGCCTGTGGACGCTGCCCCGTAGCCGGCGCTCGACCATGGGACGGAAGGGTTCTTCTCTGCGGGACGAGGAGAGAAGAGAAGTAGCCCTGGGCGCGGGGGACCAGCCGCCGGCCCCCCTCCCCTGCCCCGGCATCACTCCCTGGACAGTCAGGTGCCCCAGGCTCCGCGGGCCCCACCTCGGTCAACAGTTGAGGGAGAGGAAGCTGGGAACATAGAGCAAGGACATAAAAGCTCTGTGTGTGTCCCCACCCTGCGTTTGAGGGCACAGGGCCTCCCGAGCCTCGTATCCAGCAAGCACTTTGTTCCCAAACCCTCATTCTGGAAGCCCCAGCCCGGCACCACCACCAGGGGCCTGACCACAGGCCCAAGCCAGGCCCGGAGAACCGTGCCAAACTGTGCAGGGGTGCGAGCCCCCCTCTCCCCGCATGGGCCTGTGGTCCTGACTGAGGGATGCGCCCACGGGGACGGGCCGCGCAGACGGGCTCGTGGACAGGCTCGGGAAGGGGTCGCAGTGGTGGGCGCAGGTGGGGCTGTGGCGTGGCCCCAGCTTTTCTGGGTCTCTTGCCAACCCCCAGGCCCTGAGCCCTGCCTGCCCTCCCACCTTGAGGTGGGGTCCGCCCCCAGGCCATGCTCTCCTGCTCCTACCGCTGGGACCGGGGGTCCAGGGTGTGGTGGCCTCACTGGGGCTTGGGCTCAGGCCCCCCAGGACGGCGGCGGACGTGGGCGAGACAGCCACGGCTGAGGTCTCCCCCGAGAACCTCTCAGAGACCCGAGTGACGGCCGTGACGGGCTGGTGAGGCAGCCGCAAGGAGAGGCTCACGGGGCGAGGCTTGGGCGGTTCTGGCTCCGGGAACGTCTGGGCAGCCTCCGGGGGTCCATCGCCCAGACCTGGAACACGACCAGTGGGGCGGGGTGCTGGTCAGCCATGCCATCCACGGGGAACCCAGAGCCCCCCCTCCAGGAGGGCTCTAGACTCCCCGAACCCTCCTCCCACCGCCTCCAGGAAGGCCTCCCTGACCTCCCACTTCCAGGGACGCCTCAACACTCCAACCAGAGTTTACGTCTACTGCAAACTGCCCTCACAGTCAGCTCAGTAAACACCAGCTATGCTTCTCACTGCGTGGACGATTCCTCAGCCCCTGCTTGCATTCCTCCAGAAACAGGGAAGCTCATCACCTTTCGAGAGCTCCTGTTTCCCTCTGTGTTTAAAAAGCTCTACTTCATGCTGAGCGAAGCTGCCCTCCTGGCAGCCTCTCTACCTGTCAGAGTCCAGGGTCAGGTCCCCTTCCAGCCAAGGGCTGGCCTGGCCCAGATGCAAACCCCCCAGCCACCCTTCCTGTGCCGTCGGCCCCTACCTGCCCCCAGCTGGTGCCCATTCTCGATGACGCACGAGTCTGAGGCCTTCCTCGTCTCCAGCTCACTGGCCTCGTCCTGGTGATCCACACTCTACAGAGACACACGCCACGAGGAGGCCCCGTCAGGTAGGGCCCACTGCCCACCCCCAAAATTGCTGTCTAAAGCCCCCCCTTGTTCTGGGGGCAAACAACATCCACGTTTGAGAGGCAGCCCCCAGAACATACCGTAGTGGGCCCAGGCCACACAGCACCCTGGGGTGGACCCAGCCACACAAACGTGCCCAGAGTGCCAGGGACAAAAGATCAGGAGCAAGGGTTCTGAGCCGTGTACAAGGTGGCCCAGCCTTCTCCCAGACTGCTCCCCAGGCCGGGAGGGCCTGTTCACGCTGGCCAGGAGGGCCTGCTCCCCAGGCCGGGCGGGCCTGCTCACGCTGGCCGGGAGGGCCTGCTCCCCAGGCCGGG